TGTTTCAAGGTATTATTATTTTCTATAAGGCATTTAAAGTAGCTTTCCGGAGTATTCCACTTTCAGAAATGATGTATGACTTATTAGAAATACATAAAAGTGATTGTCTTATCATGTTCTGTGATATAATGTAGGAAATATGTCTTTTTTTTTTTGCTAAGCACGTCCCTTGCCCTGCCGAGCTCTGTGAAATAGGTAACTGAGCGCTGACCAGAACTAACCAATATTGTTTAGACTACCACTTTCCTGCTTCAAATTTAAGGAAGTACCTGGCTGATGCAGAGTTGATGAACTTTTCACGGACAAGTAAGTGTTTATGAAAACACAACATGACATGAGAATAATACTTGTAAAACAATGTGTTTTAGCTCAGCTTGTCAGCTACAGAAGAACAGTTATAAACAAAAGATGTGCAATCGCCATCTTAAAAAAACGGGGCGATGGAATTCTGGTGTGATATGTGTGTGATCAGCTAGATGGTGCCATCAGAAAAGAGAAATACCCTGGAAAGAGACTAAATGGCCTAGCATCCCCTTATGCTTATTTTATTGAATTATTTGATTTGATCTTTTTTTTATCTAAATGTTTTGTTCTGCTTATTTCTGACGCACTGTAAGGCACTTTGGTCAGCTGTGTTGAAATGCACTGTACAAATAAACTGGTATGGTAAATATGTCACTATGAAAAACCCCATTATGAAATTAAAGCTGACTTTAGGAAAAAGAGATTTTGGAATAAAAACTGATTCAAAGAAATAAAAGTGTCTCTAAATAATTTCCAATTTATTTAGTTAATATTAAATCATGCTGATATTTTTTTTCATAATGTTTTATTTATTTAATTTAGAACACTTAGGCATTCCATAAAGAACACAAACACAGCAGCAGAGTCATCCTGGACCTGCACGGTAATGGCATAGCATATTGACCCTTTGCACCTACGTCACCTAATCACGTGGGTCCGCCATACTGGACGGCAAAAGCATGTAAACAGTGAGCGACATGAGTACTAAAACAAAGGGAAAAGAAGAGCCTGAAATTGTTTTTGCGATCTAAAGCATTCCCTCTACTAGTTCAAGCCCATGTTCAGTTATCAGAAGAAGTAGCGCATCTAGATGGGGCTCATAGAGAGCGGTATTTACAAAAGTTAAGTGTTATTAACTAGCTTACGAACGTTAGCTTAGGTTCTCTCTGCCACTGTTCACCGATGTAAACAAGCTGCCTACGTTGCCTAAATTCACCCGACTGGATTTATAACATTATGTTATAAACAGCGATTAAAAAAAAGTCCGGATCCTTACTAATTTTTGTTGCTGGTGGTGTCACAGCGTGTTCAGCTGCTGCTCTCACACTGGGATGACACAAGATTTCTTTTTACGGCGACGCTTGTACTAAATAACATAATTTTAACACACAATCGTGCATTGGAGCAATATTGTAATTAATTATCTCGCATTTCACTAAAGTGGACGATACTGCGGTACCGCACGTGCTCCATGGTGGAATATCCATCCATCAGAAGAATGCAACACATTTGTCCCTGTGTTCATCATGAAATAAATAAACATTAATCTTACCCGGTAAAAACATGTTTGCTGTAAACCTGGGGGCTGCTAGTCCGTTTGATTGATCGCTGCAGTTCATCTCTGTCCTCAGTCTTGATCATCGTCGTTTGAAAAAAATAAATAAATAAAAAAACGAGTTGGCTTTACATCCTTGTCTGTTAGTGCAGCCAGTCACATAGCAAGTTGTTACCATTTTACTGTGAAACCAACTAAATAAAAGCGAAAAAATGTCACGACTCCCAATCCTTCACCCTCCTCTGCCTCCTCATCTAGCCTTCAGCCTTTATGCAGCACACCTGGTTCCCTCATCACGCTCCTGACAAGCCCTGTTTCCCTGCCAACCACAATCAGCTTCATCCACTTCACCTGTTCCTGTCATCAGCCTCATTCACCACACCTGTTCCTCCTGCTTTATATTCACCAGCCAGCCACCAGTTCCCTGCCAAATTATTGAAAGCTAACGCCAGTAAATTCTCCAGCAGTCCTAACCTCTGCCTGAATCATTGATCCTGACCGTGTTCCTGAATCTCTACCTGCCCACATGCCTGCTCCCTGCCTCGATTGTGTCTCTGCTTCTGACCCCCTGGATTCTCTACCTTCGGACTATTCTCTGGATTCTGCCTCCCGCCTGCCCCTTGTAGCATTCACGGATCTCTCTGGTTTTGACCCATGCTTCCTCCTGACCCTGCCTCACCCTCGCCCACCTCTGGTAACTCCACTCCTAATAAAGACTTTTTATTTTACTCACTGTGTTTGGCGTCATTACGGGTCCTTCTAGTTCAGCTCATGACATAAAAAGCTACAAACGGGCTTGTTTTGACTAGCTTCACTGGAATTTCAACGTGTGTAAACGGTCTTTTTGCCATCCATCATGGCAAACGGGGCGGTCCCATGAGTGGCGTGACGTCACGTGCAAAATGTCAATAGCAAAATCAGGGTTTCTGCGTGTGGGTGATCTACTTGGCTTTGCCTCCCCCCACCCCCACTCGAGACAGACAGACAGTCAGACACACACACACACACACATTCTTTAATCTCAGCCCAGCTTTCACCCCCCCCCCCACCCCCACCCCCCCAACACACAAGTCTAATGCAATGTTTGTTGGAGCAATTGGGAAGCTGCTTTGGAATAAAATTGTATAAAATAATCCATGGTATGTTTTCTCACTGGTAGAATTTAAGTAATGCAAGAGACACATCACATGCCTTAAAGAGCAAGTAACGTCTAAATTAACTTTTTTTTGCTGATGAACTGTATAAATGAGTGTCTAATAGTGTTTTAAATGTGTGCATTCTTTATTTTAGCATTTTGGTGCATTTTCTTTAAAAATTAAAAATTCTGTCTAAAAACCACAGTAATGCGCCACCTTCAGCTGAAAACATAGAATTTGAGTCATTTTGAATAAATTTTAGCCAATGGCTAAAGAGTAAAGTACTACGTAAACCAGTAGAGTACTACGTAGCAGCTCCGTGCCAAAGTTATAAAAGCAACGAGCGTCTCGGCCACGCCCTGTGGCGAGTGGGAGTTGGATTTGCAAGCGAGTGTAGGAGGTCAGCGGTAGTTCAGCATTAGCATATAGCATTAGCATATCCTAGTCTTTAGCATATCTTTTAGTGTTATAAATACTTATTTAGTGTTAGCTTGGCTGTTGTATATTATAGTTTAGTTAGTGTTTGGCTGTTAGTGTAATTGGGAAAGTATTTCGGGTTTAGTGTTCCATATCGTCTTAGTATTGGTGAGTAGGTGTAGTGTAGTATGGTTGCGGTGACTCTGTGGGCATTTTACCCGCGATTCTGCACGCCTCCGTTTGAAGAGGGAGGCTGTGCCCACCGTGGCTCTTCCGCGATTTAGATGCAGCCCACCGATTCTGCTCCCCCACCACGGCGGGCTCCAGTCTGAGGTGAGTCAGCTAAATAAAGTTTTAACATCTTCTAAAGACAATTCCCTACCTAAATGCAAAGTCTGAGAGACGTGGTTCACTTCCTTTAGCTAGTCAGTCGGCAATTCTGCAACAGTGACTCTAACTGACGCAGCACTTGTTGACAACATTACAGCGTGAAATCCAGCTTGTGACCCGGTTCTGTGAGGAATTCTGTTCAGGAGGTCGCATTTCAGGCTCTCCACATCATATGTGACTGACTTTTACGTCATAACAACGATCACACACTAGGAATGTTATAAAGCGCCTATATAGGAGATTCTTTTGTATATTATCTGACTATAAACTCCAACAACAATGTGCTTCTATTTTTTTTTCCAGGCTAAATCTACCCAAGACACTGGCTGTCAGACTGATTTAGCTGCATGAATGCACTTGTCCAGGCTGATGTGAAACCTTCCCTGTAGCAAAGGTGAATTATTTTTAATAATCTTCTATGCAAACATTTTATTATCACCTTCTAGTTTTAATTTGTTTTACAGATTATTTTTACACGTGATTTTATGCTCTTTTAAACATTTATAAATGTGCTGCTTCTTTGTTTTTACATAGCCAGCCAGAATGGAGTTCACAGCCGCAGTGTGTCTGGTGACCCACGGGGACCATGATGAAAATTCATCTTCCAGAAGGTCCCAGAGCGTCCAGACCCCCTGAAAAGACCAAGGTGTGAGGTGTCTGCTGTTGATTCCAGCTTCCACCTCAGTGACAGTGCAAGCTCAGTGAACTGTTCAAGGTAAAAAAAAAAAAAAATTAAAACATTTCAGAATTTTTAAGATATTAACAATTAAATAAGTATGTGATTACATCATGACGGAGGCTACTGATTCTGCCCGTGACACTTGGTGGTGACGTGTAAGCTGATTCTCCTGGAAAATAACTTTTACATTAAATATTTTGTTTTTGCTATCAAAAGTAAATTAACTAATAACCTGCATTATTGCAGGACATTCAGCAAAATATGGACTCTACACCATGAGGCATGCACACATTAATATTCTATAAGAGCACATAAGGTGAGCAACACCACATATTGTACACTGTCCTGAATTTGTTTTCTTTCTGCATCTCATTAGCCTGGCTGATCACCTGATAACTCCTGTCATCTGGTTATGACAGCATGAGGATGTCCTCACACACCTGTAACCTATCAGCTCATCTGGCAGAATAGAGAGAGAAGAGACAACACCACATCTCCTGTTCCTGGAAAGCCTTCAGCCTTCCTTCGATGACTGAGAACCTCCATCAGCTCTGTCTCCTGTCTGCCTACAATTATTATAATAAATATTGTGTTTGACAAGTTTTTTGTGCTGCCAAATATCTCATTTAGATTCCAGTTTTGATATTTTAATGGATATTTATAAATTACATTGAATATCACATTTTTGTTGCATGTTTAACTAGCTATTGTGATTAATTAAACTAGCACCTCACTGTTAAAAGCTCGTTCTAATTTCAAGCATGTTTAAGTATTTATGGACATGAACAAAAACAGGAAATATATAAATTGAGATTTATTTAATTAATATAACAAATAAGGGGGAAAGAGTCATTGAAAGGCACATTCTTCTGGAAGTTCCTGATCCTGAGGACACCAGCAGAGGAGACCAGCTGCAGACACCAGAGACCAGCTGCAGACACCAGAGGACCTAGAACCGAGAGAGCAGCTGTTATTAGTAAATAAATAAAGAAATCAGGGCAGTTTTAGTGGGCTGAACACATTACAGAATAATTTTCTCATGGGGTATTTTCATAACTTTATATGCAGCAGACTGTACCTTGAGCCCAGGGCTACCGGAGAGCTATCCAGCATGTTTCAGTGGATTTTCCTGCTTTAACAGGTTAGATTAGCTGTTAAGCAGCTCAGCTATTTGTTGCTGATTAAAACCAGGTGTGCTGAAGCAGATAAACCTCTAAAACATGCTGAATACTAGCTTTTTAGGGCCGTGGAGACAAACCCTGCAGCTAATCCAATGCTATGGCTAACGGCTACTTACCTTTCAGAGGTGATTCTGTTGGGTCGGTTCTGGGAGTTTCAGGCAACTCACAAGCTCAAAACAATAAGACTCAGGTCCGCTTGTCTCCTCCAAATAGACTTGGTCCCTTTCTTCTCGAGTGTCTGTAAGGAGGGGGAGAAACGTCCTCCACTTCTATCAACTGCTCAGAGTGAAGGGAGCTAGCTTCGTCTAGTTAGCCATCGTCTTCGTCACTGCCGCGGCTCCGCCCTCTCGGTCCTCCAGGCAACGCCTACTAATGTTGCATTTTTTAAAATTGATACGTGGGTGGAGAAGGACTCCGAGGCTCAATTGACCCGCTCTTTAAAGAATTCTGGGTCTTCCTCACGCAGGTATACTGGAAGGGCACATAGCACTGCAGTCCATTTCACATCGACATCAGGTGCTTCCTGAAAAGGGAAAAGAAGTTATATTACCACAAAGTTTACAGGTGTCATTGCCTGGGGAGAATACATGTTTATGACACATTAGGCTCTGCATAATTTTGGAGACATTTTGTTTGAGACACAACCTTTCAGTATCTCATGACAAAGAGCTTGTTTCTTACTCATTTGACAAAAAATTTAAACCAATTTTTACAGGGTTATCCAAACTGACACTTTTGTTTTTGCTTCCATTTTTTAGGCTGGTTGGATGTACTGCCAAATTCTCTGAAACGCCTTTGAAGATGGCTTATGGTAGAGAAATGAACATTCATTTCACTGGCAACAGCTCTGGTAGATATTCCTGTGGTCAGCATGCCAATTGCACACTCCCTCAAAGATTGCACATTTCAGGGTGGCCTTTTATTGTGGGCAGTCTAAGGCACATGTGTACACTATTCATTCTGTCTAATCAGCCCCTTGATATGCCACACCTGTGAGGTGGGATGGATTATCTTGGTAAAGGAAAAGTGCTCACTAACACACATGTAGACAGATTTCAGAAAAGTATTTGAAAGTCATGGGTGTTTTGTGCATGTGGACAAAGTTTCAGATGATTGAGTTCAGTTCTTGAAAAATGGGAGTAAAAACAAAGTGTTGCATTTACATTTTTGTTTAGTGTATATAGAAAACAGATTTTCCCAGCAATTAAAAGAAGCCCATAGGCAGTCTAAAAGCAAGCAAAATTGAGTGATTAACATTGAAACTTTTTAAATTACTGGTAGCAATTATATCTTTATCAATATTCCCCTGATGATCATAGTTATTCAGAATGTTTCGTAGAGCCTCCGATATCTTGCTAGTGCATGTGGCCTTCTGTCTGTATAGAGCCATAAGTCGTGGTGTGTGTCTGTCAATTTCCGCATTGAACTGTTTTTGCAGGTTTATGTTTGAGACTCAGTGGAACTCCGCACAAACCTAAAAAATACAGGAACATAAAAACATCCAACATAAAGCAAAATTACTGGCCAAATTGACAAATCTTATATTTATAGAGGGATTTCCAAATTTGTGCCCAGTCTTTTCTTAATACTGTCATTTTAACATGTGTTTTTCAATTTGAACTTAACCTTTCCAGCACAATTGTATCACAAATCTGTAATATATTTTTCAGCATCATGAGCCCATGAATGTAGGAATGCTTCTCTTTAAATCCTACATTAAAGACTCGGCAAGTTTTATCTGTGGTTGCCTGTCTACTTAATATTGAAGCACCACAATTAATAGGGTGCTTAGTTGTAGTACTTTTAAGATATTTTTCTACCTATTTGAACAATGTTTATAAGAAAAAAATAAACATTGTTCAAAGAAAAAAAAATGTGTGCAACACCAACCTGTGAAATCGCAGAGCTGGCCATTTCTCTAACATGTTCTTCACCATTGGGTTTTCTTGAACGACCTTATGGCGACACAGTGCAAAGGTTGTTTGCATCAGTTATTTGATCATTACTTTGTTGGGCTCGGTCTTCTCAACCTCATTTTTTATCTGGACTCTCATTTACTCCAGACTAGCCTCATCTTCTTCTCTTGGAAAGTTTGGGAGGTAGTTTACCTCAGCTTTTCGTGCTCTTTTTATGTTGGAGGGTGATACTTCTGGGTTGTTGATACTCCTCCTACCAGTGTTCACGGACACCTCCACGCATCCGCTCTGGCTAGCTTGGTGCGGTAATTTCCCATGTAAAATTTTAAACTGGTCTTCCAACCATAACGTCCATTCCTACTTCCAGGCTCATTAAAGAGCAAGTAACGTCTAAATTAACTTTTTTTTTTCTGATGAACTGTATAAATGAGTGTCTAATAGTGTTTTAAATGTGTGTATTCATTTTTTTAGCATTTTGGTACATTTTCTTTAAAAATTCTGCCTAAATACCACAGTATAGCGCCACCTTCAGCTTAAAACATAGAACTTGACTCATTTTGAATAAATTTTAGCCAATGGCTAAAGAGTAAGATACTATGTAACCCAGTAGAGTACTACGTAGCAGCTCTGTGTCAAAGTTATAAAAGCAACGAGCGTCTCGGCCACGCCTTGTGGCCCGTTGGGAGTTGGATTTGCAAGTGCTCGTAGGAGGTTAGCCGTAGTTCAGCATTAGCATATAGCATTAGCATATCCTAGTCTTTAGCGTAGCCTTTAGTGTTATACATACTTATTTAGAGTTAGCTTGGCTGTTGGATAGTAGTTTAGTTAGTGTTTGGCTGTTAGTGTTATTAGGAAAGTAGTTCAGGTTTAGTGCTCCATATCGTGGTAGTATGCTGTGAGAAGGTGTAGTGTAGTATGGTTGCGGTGGCTCTGTGGGGTTGTACTCCTTTCCGCTGGACTTAGAAATTAGGCGCCAGTGGTTGTGTGTTTGGAAAACATTCAGCTCCCGCCTGGTGCTGTAGTTTGCAACCAGCATTTTACCCGCGATTCTGGTCTCCGTTTGAAGAGGGAGGCTGTGCCCACCGTGGCTCTTCCGCGATTTAGATGCAGCCCACCGACTCTGCTCCCCCACCATGACGGGCTCCAATCTGAGGTGAGTAAGCTAAATAGAAGTTAACATCTTCTAAAGACAATTTCCTACCTAAATGCAAAGTTTGCGAGACGTGGTTCACTCCATTTAGCTAATATCAGCCTGCACTGCCTTCGGGCAGATTTGTCAAGTTCACAAAATGTGGAACGGGATGTAAGGTTAGAATCAGTGGCGAATCGGAACATATCTCGAAGCCCTGGCCGACAAAACGGTCCACAAGACTGTCAGGCTCAGAGAAAATTTGGGTTGTTTTTGTGTCAGTCGGTAATTCTGCAACAGTGACTCTAACTAACGCAGCACTAGTTGACAGACATCATTACAGCGTGAAATCCAGCACAGCGTGACCCGGTTCCGTGAGGAATTCTTTTCAGGAGGTCACATTTCAGGCTCTCCACATCATATGTGACTGACTTTTACGTTATAATAACGTTCACACACTAGGAATGTTATAAAGCACCTACATAGGACAGTTTCTTTTGTATAGTATCTGACTTTATAAACAACAATGTGCTTCTATTTTTTTTTCAGGCTAAATCTACCCAAGACACTGGCTGTCAGACTGATTTAGTAATCTGCAAGAATGCACTTGTCCAGGCTGACGTGAAGCGTTACCCGTAGCAAAGGTGAATTATTTTTAATAATCTTCTATGTAAACATTTTATTACCTTCTAGTTTTAATTTGTTTTACAGATTGTTGCACATGATTTTATGCTCTTTTAAACGTTTATAAATGTGCTGCTTCTTTGTTTTTTATAGAGCTCACAGCCGCTGTGTGTCTTGTGACACAGGGACCATGACGGAAATTCATCTTCCAGAAAGTCCCAGAGCAGCGTCCACACCCCTGAAAAGACCAAGATGTGAGGTGTCTGCTGTTGATTCCAGCTTCCACCTCAGTGACAGTGCAAGCTCAGTGAACTGTTCAAGGTAAAAAAAAAATAAAATAAAACATTTCTGAATTTTTAAAATATTAACAATTAAATAAGTATGTGATTACATCATGACATCATGAAGGAGGCTACTGATTCTGGCCCTGTGACACTTGGTGGTGACGTGCGAGCTGATTCACCTGGTAAATAACTTTTCCATTAAATATTTTGTTCTTTGCTATCAAAAGTAAATTAACTAATAACCTGCATTATTGCAGGACACTCAGCAAAATATGGACTCTACACCATGAGGCAGGCACACGTTAATAACTCTATAAGAGCACATAAGGTGAGCAACACCACATATTATTTTTAATACTGTACACTGTCCTGGATTTGTTTTCTTTCTGCATGATTTGTTTTCTTTCTACATCTCATCATTAGCCTGGCTGATCACCTGATAACTCCTGTCATCTGGTTATGACAGCATGAGGATGTCCTCACACACCTGTAACCTATCAGCTCATCTGGCAGAATAGAGAGAGAAGAGACACCACCACATCTCCTGTTCCTGGAAAGCCTTCAGCCATCCTTCAATGACTGAGAACCTCCATCAGCTCTGTCTCCTGTCTGCCTAAAATTATTATAATAAATATTGTGTTTGACAAGTTTTTTGTGCTGCCAAATATCTCATTTTGATTCCAGTTTTGATATTTTAATGGATATTTATAAATGACATTGATTATCACATTTTTGTTGCATGTTTAACTAGCTCTATTGTGATGAATTAAACTAGCACCTCACTGTTAAAAGCTTGTTTTAATTTCAAGCATGTTTAAGTATTTATGGACATGAACAAAAACAGGAAAAATATAAATTGAGATTTATTTAATTAATATAACAAATAAGGGGGAAAGAGTCATTGAAAGGCACATTCTTCCGGAAACTCCTGATCCTGACGACACCAGACCAGCTGCAGACACCAGAGGACCTAGAACCAAGAGAGCAGCTGGTATCAGTAAATAAATAAATCAGGGCAGTTTTAGTGGGCTGAACACATTACAGAATAATTTTCTCATGGGGTATTTTCATAACTTTCTATGCAGCAGACTGTAACTTGAGCTCCTGGAGAGCTGCTATCCAGCACGTTTCAGTGGTTTTCCTGCTTTAACAGGTTAGATTAGCTGTTAAGCAGCTCAGCTATTTGTTGCTGATTAAAACCAGGTGTGCTGAAGCAGATAAACCTCTAAAACATGCTGAATACTAGCTTTTTAGGGCCGTGGAGCCAAACCCTGCAGCTAATCCATTGCTATGGCTAACAGCTACTTACCATTCAGAGCTGGTTCTGTTGGGTCGGTTCCGCTAGTTTCAGGCAACTCACAAGCTCAAAACAATAAGACTCAGGTCCGCTTGTCTCCTCCAAATAGACTTGGTCCCTTTCTTCTCGAGTGTCTGGGTAAGGAGGGGGAGAAACGTCCTCCACTTCTAATAACTGCTCAGAGAGAAGGGAGCTAGCATCGTCTAGTTAGCCATCGTCTTCGTCACTGCCGCGGCTCCGCCCTCTCGGTCCTCCAGGCAACGCCTACTAATGTTGCATTTTTTAAAATTTATATGTGGGTGGAGAAGGACTCCGAGGCACACTTTACCTGCTCTTTAAGACATGGATGAGTGGTAACAAGAGCTTTGGCTGCCAAACACACATCTCTGTCACTCAGACAGGCTTTGAGGGTGTGCATCAATCAATCAATCAATCAATCAATCAGAATTATTTATAAAGCGCTTTTCAAACAAAGAGCGACTCAAAGTGCTTTACAAAATGATCCCAGATTCCCACAGCAGGTTAAAAACATTAACAGACATATGCAAGCACACACACACGCACAGGCACACACACGCACACACACACACACACAAGTAAAAATTATATTTGGCTGAGTCCAGATGAGCCAAGTAAGCATGCATCACTGAAGCCATGGTCTCCAAGATATTGTGCTTTTGGGCTCGAGTCAATTTCAGTTGCTTTCCAGACATCTCAAAGGCTTTATTTCCCTTCTTCTCAAGGAGATTTTCGACTTCGTAAGAAAAGGTTGGTACTGGGAAAGTGTCAGGCTAACACTTCAGACACTGAGCTAAAGGCACATGAGGAAGGATGTCTGTGTCAGAACTTGCACAAGAACTGGCATCACTTTCGGATCGCACAATTTTTAATGTGCTCTTCTCCAGTAGCTCTTGAATATCATGTAGACAGGTAAGTTGTCAGTCAAAGTCAGGGTCTTCGTATTGTAAGGTAAACTCAAAGTCCAGCCTTGGGTTGAGCTTCTCCCAGAGAATGGTGATTAGTTCTTCGAATGGACTCAGGCCGCTTAATTAGAGAAACCTTCACAACAACATCTGTAGTGATGTGAACCATCCTATGTATAAAACAAGGAATGGAGATGATTAAAAACTACTGCAATGGTCTCAAAACATATAAAAACAATGCACATCATACCATTAACCTTTTTTTATGTGTCCTGTCTGGCAGAGTGGTACTCAGATTTGGCGTCTGAGTACCAAGCGATAGCCCAACAGATTTACTTTTACAAGTGGAACATTACCTCTTGTGGTAATGCATAACAATAACCTTATTATGGTCTGATAATTGTATACTCATCAATCATTTCAGCTGTCAAAAATGTAGGTGTGAGTGGGGGCCAAATATACTATAGTCTTGTTTTCTAATTTTAATTTAAGAAGTCCACTGTAAATTTCATTACAAAATAAACTTACAATTACTGCTGTTTACTTTGGGTGCGTTCTTGCATTTTATGGCCAATCTTTCAACAGTCCAGAACATAGGTAAGTATTTCAAATGTTACATAGTCACAGGCCATCATTTCATTTAGTCATGGTAAAAGGTAAGCCTATTTCAGTTTTATGGTTTTACATCATAATCAACATTTTCTCACCAGACATACAAACAATACGTAAGAATTTACACAGCAATTATTTTACAAAACAGAGACAAACGGCAGGAGAAATGTTTGGAAACACACATCATGTGATACTAAATCAGTGAGATACATCTAAAAGGAAACAGGAAAGAGAGAGGGAGTTTTGATGGAGTAGGACGCGAGTCTGGGAGCTCCCGCTGACTTCGACTAAATTGTTATTCATTTGTGCTTTTTGGCCATATTTCCAGGTCTATTTTGTTTCTTGAATTGTTTTTTGCTGAGACGTTTTAAGTGGGCCGGCGGAAAATGGCAGCAAAAAATGTTAAAACCTGCAGTACTATTCAAACATAACTGAGGCCTGGTTTGCAAACCGTGGCCACACCCTCGAGTGAGCCATCGTCTCCTGCAAAGCCTCCCCTGTGCCAAGCTAATCCTGATATTGAGGCTCTCAAGGTCGAGTTGCTTGCTTCGATGAGGAAAGAAATCGCCAACATTTTTAAAAAGGAACTTCAGGACTCTCTGGGTGATGCTTTGTCCACCATTAAGTTCGGCCTACAGGCGGTGAAGACACAGCTGGCGATTGATAAAGATGCCAATGACTCTACCTTGTTTGAGGTAAAAGGTACAGTCAAGGAGATGGAGGACGCACTTACTGTCTGCTCTGATGATGTAGCTGAGATGAAAAACACTGTCACAAGCCTCACTGCTCATGTAGCCAAGCTGGAAAATAAGTGTGAAGACTTGAAGTCCAGGTCGTGGCGCAACAATGTTAGGATAGTAGGAGTACCAGAGGGCCCTGACACGTGCACCACTGCTGCCGTAGCCTCCTCGCTAAAAGAAGCATTCGACCTGGGGAAGGAGCCGCTTTTGGATCGTTCACACAGGACCCTCCAGCCCGCACCTAAGCCTGGCGACCGACCACGAGCTATTGTATGCAGGTTTCATGACCACACTGTGTTGACATTTTACGACGCGCTAGAGAACGCCAACAGATTAAAGTTGGAGACCGAACCATCGCAGTCTTCCCCGACTACACCGCCAGGGTGGCACGGGCTCATGCTGCATTCAACACGATCAGGCTGCAACTCCGTGGTATTGAAGGCGTCCGGTATGGCCTGCTTCATCCAGGACGACTTCGCATCACATATAAGGGTGTCGAGAGGGACTTTGTCTCAGCAGAGGAGGCCAGTGATTATGTTAAAACTTTGATCTCTGGGTGAGCCTTAATAGCCCTTCAGTTTGACGCTGTAATGTTACTAAGTGCTCACGCTCTTGTTAGTTTTAACGCTACCGGTGCATTGTTTTCTTACCCCGTTGGGCCGGTTGCTATATTGTTGGTGTACTGGTTCCTTTTATTTTCATTGTTAACTAATGATACTGAATTACATATTATACTCTAGAGTTCTGGACCAGTCCAGCACAATCTTATCCAAGCTTGCTGCATTGGTTTGCATAGGACTAGGTGGCATGTTGTTAAGCGCACACTGTTATACTGTAGAGAAGTTGACGAGAGGTTGTCTTTTTTCTTTCCTCTCTCGCTTTTATTTTTATTTAGATGCCAATTAGTCCAGTTACTTTGGTCAACCATTTTGGCTACTTTGGGGTACACTGCAGTCTCCTTTGTTTTGTTCCGTGGAGACTCGGGGTGTATTTGTGTTTAGGGAGGGGGGGGGGGGGGGGGGGCTGTCCCACTTCGGCTCTTCATGGCCACTTGCATCTTGGTTTAGTTTTCTTTTTTCTCCTTTTTATGAATGGTTAATTTTAATATAGACCCCAGCATTGCTGGGTCAGGCATGCCTCTTAGATTCATTAGTTGGAATATCAGAGGTATGGGTAATCCTGTCAAGAGATCTAAGGTTTTTACCCACTTGAAACGTCTGAATTCTGACATAGCATTTTAACAGGAGACCCATCTTCCTATTAAGGATCATCATAGGTTATATTGCCCTTGGGTAGGTCAGGTCTTTCACTCAAATTTTAATTTGAAAGCTAGAGGAGTGGCCATTCTCATCAATAAGAAAGTTCAATTCTCTTCGACCAATGTTATCGCTGATGGTAATGGTAGACACATCATTGTTGCTGGCACCCTAATGCAGAAAAAGGTTTTGTTGGTAAATGTAGATGCCCCGAATTTTGATTATGCTGAATTCGCTAATAGATTGTTGAGTAACATCCCTTTTTTTAATACACATTTGCTTAGTCTCGGTGGTGATCTGAAATGTGTTTTTGATCCAAGCTTGGATCGTTCTGGTCCTCGTAAGTTGACTATCATCTATGTCTAAAACATTCTCATATTTTATGGAACAGAATGAGCTTGTTGATCCATGGAGACTTTGCAATCCTACAATCAAAAAATTCTCGTTTTTTTCCCAGGTCCACCAATCTTATTCCAGGGTTGATTATTTGTTCATCGACAGAACTCTCAATTCATCTGTTACTTCCTCTGACTATTCTGGTATTGTAATATCTTATCACTCTCTTCTGCTATTAGATGTTCAATTCCCTACCTATAAACGTAGTCCTTCACTTTGGAGATTTAATTCCCTCCTTCTGGCGGATAAAGAATGTTGTGAATTTATTTCAAGCTCTATTGAGGAGATTTTGTCCTTCAATCAGGATGATTCTGTTTCATATTCTCTGCTGTGGGAGACTCTTAAATGCTATTTGAGAGGTCAGATTATTTCTTACTCTGTTCATGCTAATAAAAAGATTAATGCTGGGCTTAAAAAACTTACGGCTGCAATTAGTAATTTTGATCAAAGTTATGTACTGAAACCTTCTCCAGAATTACTGAAGCAGCGCCTTGATTTGCAAGCAGAATTTGA